TGGCCACGACCTTGCGTGCCGAGCACCAAGCCAACATTGACGCTGTGACGACAACGCTGCAGCAAGAACACCAAGAAGCCTCGGCCGCCTCGGACGCCAAGCTGCGCCAAGAGCACTCGATCAAAGAGACGGCTCTCATCTCCGAGCTTACAAAGCTGGCCGCACAGCGCGACGCCAGCCTCGAGCGCGCTCAGGTCCTGTTCACTCGATCGGAGGGCCTGCGTCGCGACCTCCACACGCTCGCCAAGCTTAACTGCCGCCTCCAGATTGCCGCGACGACCGCAGAGGCTGCCACGACACAAAAAATCGCTGACAAGGCGCGTGTCGCAGAGCGTTACACCGCAGAGATCGAAGCGCAGCTGCGCCACACAACGACCGACCTCGCAGCGGCGACCGATGCCATCGCTGCGTCGACACTGGCAGCGGCCACCAAGGACGACAACATCGCCTCGCTCCAAGCGGAGCTCGAGCTCGCGACCAGCAACCTTGCACACGCCGAGCACGCGCTCGACCAGACCAAGCGCGACCTTGCAACGTCCAAAGCGACCGAAGACGACAACGCGGCCCTCCTCCGCGACGCTGCCAACGCCATCGCGTCCAAGGACGAGCACATCCAGACGCTTCAAGCCGGCCTCGACAGCCATGTGCAAGACCTCGCCGGTGTCGCGGACCAGCTCGAGCAAGCGCACCAGGACTTGGCGTCGCATCAAGCGCAAAAACGCGAGCTCCAAGACCAACTCGACCGCCTCCAGGACGAGCTCACAGACAGCTTGACAGATCGATGCTATGCGACGATGGACCACGACGCCACCGTCAAGGCCATGGACGAGCGTCTCCAGATGCTGCAAGCTGACGTCGACGGTCATGAGCAGCGGATGCTCCTTGAAGTATCGGCGAAGGACGCCTCCTTGGTCTCGCATCAAGCTCGCATCAATGAACTACTGGGTCAGCTTGCCGTGGTCAAGATGGCCGCCGGCAGTGCCCAGCTTCTTCACGACGCGACGATCGAGGCCAAGGAAGCGGCCCTCCGCCAGCTTCAAGTCGACCTCGACGAACGCGTCCAGCTCGCTCAGACGCACCATGGTATTGTCGACCAGCTTCAGCGTGCTGTGGCCACCAAGGACGAGCTTTTGGCCGCACACGAAGGTCAAGTCCGCGATCTCCAAGGTCAGCTTCGAGTGGTCCAAGCCAAGATCGAGGCTGTCGAGGCAGCTCGAGTCGGTGCAGCCCGCGCTCATGCAACGGCCATGCAAGGCAAGGACGAGCAGATGCACATGCTCCAAGAAGACCTCGAGGGCCGCACGAATCAAGTCGCAGCACTCGTTCGCACGCGCGATCAGCTCCAGTGCGACGTGGCCGAGCTCCAATGCGATGTGGCCGAGCTCCAAGCGCAGATTCGCCAGCTCCAAGACGATCTCGACGACCACGCGCAGCGAGACCAAGAGCTTGGCCGTCTGCTGGAGCAGCTGGAGCAAGTTCAGCGCGACTTGGCTGGCAACGACGAGCTGCTGCTGTTGGCGCACGAGACCCAAGTTTGTGATCTCCAAGCCCAAGTCGACGACCTCCAAGATGACGTGCTCGAGCTCGAGCAGCTGCTGGAGACGAGCGAAGCGTACACGCGAGTCCTCGAGTCCGACGCCGTCGGGAGCCGCGAAGAAGCGCCCGAGGTGACCCACCGCCGCTGCGACCGCCGCACCTCCGTGTACACCGACGCGATGGCTGGTCGACCTGTATCTCTGTAGTTATAGATCTCAACTGTACATTGCGTGTAAGACAAAAATGATAATCCAATGAAAAAGTACAATATTAAATAGGAACCAGGAGCTTAGTGGCAGAGATCCGAGGCGTCGCTGGCGAGCGCGTCGATCGCGAGGTCGACCTTGTGCAATGTGATGAGGTCGTGCGTCGTGAGGTCGGCCTCAAAGTGCCGGAGCATCTCCAGCGTCTTGCGCACGCAGTCGAGGCTCGAGGCGACGTTGCCTGGGCCCTCGGCGACGCGGCCCGAGAGCGCCTCGAGACCGTCGAGGAGCTCGATGAGCAAGTCTTTGTCCAAGCCCGCGTCCAGCGTCTTGGTGAGCAGCGCAAAGACGGGTTGCAAGAGCGCGTGCCAGTCGTTGACGATCGCGGCGGCGGCGACGCGAGCTTCCAGCGCCTCCAGCTTGAGCTCGAGTAGCTCGATCGCGAGCGTCGAGTGCATTGGCACGACGGCGTCCAGCGCCAAAATGTAGTCCGCGAAGAGGCCCAGGGACGTGGCCGCGAGCGCGGGCTGCTCGTCGATCGACGTCTTGAGCGCCTCGAGCTGCAGCGTCGTGTCCTCGAGGTACTCGGCCGTCGCGCTGTCGGCCACAAGGTGCGCTTCGTACGCCAGATCGACCATGTCCTGGACGAGCGCGATCGCATCGTCCGCGATCTCGTCGATCTCGTGACCGCAGGCGGCGTCCTCTTCGACGTCCTCTTCCGTGTCGTCGTTGGCGTCCGACTTGTCGTCCGAGTCGTAGTTGCCCGTCATGTCCAGCGTCGATGTAGGCGACGGGATGTCGATGGGCGCGGACTTGTGCACGAGCTTCGTGGCGCCGTCGTCGAAGTCCGTTGTGGCGACGTCGGCCGTCGGCGCTGCCTCGACGGGTGCGCTGGTGGCAGTGGCGGCTTGCTGCGCGCGCAGGGTCAGGTAGACGTTGGCGGCGCTGATGGCGGCGGAGACGAGGGCCACGGCGAGGAGGCAGAGCATGGTGAGAGGCGGGCTCGTTGCGAAATGATATGCGAATCACCAAAACTGGAATTGAGAATCGAGAATTGAGAATCCTGTAATTCGGAATTTTAATCTTGTCTTGCGTTTTGTATGCGAATGCCAGGTTTATTGAATGCATTCGCAACCAACGCACGAATCTGGCGATCTTTCGGGAAAGCGTGCGATGTGATTGGCTATCCCACTGGACACGATCGGTTTGACTTGTGGTGTGTATGCACACGCCTCGCTCGAATTCCCGTAAGAAGTACTGCCGCCACAGCCATGCCACGTCACAACCATGTTGGCTCCTTGCATCAAGCACCAGCCAAACGCTTGACGACGAAATCCTTCAGAAAGACAACCCAGTCTTGCTCCAATGCACGTGGAGCTTACTAGTACGAACGCATGGAATAAATAGAGTCGACTAGTACACCTGGCCCAGTGGGTATCTATGCAGGCGACAGTTTGTACCAGGCTATCAAAGCAATGTCATTGCGGTAGTTGCTACGATGGCCCAACTGTCTTCATGCTCTTGACGTACCGCGTCAAGCAACACCGCCGACGCGGCCATCTTGGCGTACAAAAGCAGTCGAGGCGGCACTGGCCCGCGCACGCCTTTTCGTCGAGGGGTAGCCTTTCCCAATGGGAAAAGCTAGGCGATGTGTAGGAAGCAGCGCATATTTCGATCACGATTGAAATGCAAGCACCTCGCTGGAACCCTTCGACGAACGCGGCCTCCAAGGCCAAGCCAGGATCGACCATGTCGGCCCGCACGACGCGCGCCGCCTCGGCTGCCTGCTCACGCACCGCCTCGACGGTCTCTACGCGCACGCAGCGCGCGGCAACAGCGCCAGAAGCGCTGGTCATCCCGGAACGCCACGCCCGTGAGCTCGCTGCCTTGCGCACCGAGTACGAAGAACGCCTCGAGAGCCTCCGCACCGACTGCCAGATGCAGTTGGCGGCGTTGGCCACGACCTTGCGTGCCGAGCACCAAGCCAACATTGACGCTGTGACGACAACGCTGCAGCAAGAACACCAAGAAGCCTCGGCCGCCTCGGACGCCAAGCTGCGCCAAGAGCACTCGATCAAAGAGACGGCTCTCATCTCCGAGCTTACAAAGCTGGGCCGCACAGCGCGACGCCAGCCTCGAGCGCGCTC